TTTAAATATAAAATATAAGTGTCGTTTTGTAATTAGAACTTATATTACGCTGAAATTCTAGCGTAAGAGAGAGAGTGTGAGGAAGGGAGAGAAAGAGAGAGAGAAATAGAGAGAGGATTGAAAAATATGAAAAAATTATCAAAAGACACATCTAGAAAAGAAATATGAAAGGGGTTTTAAGGTTAAAGTTCAAAATTTTTATCCCATATAATATCATTCACTGTGTATACTGTATAGACATTTATATTCTTGAATAAAATGACGCTGTTATCTTTTATATGTAGGTTAATTCATTATGAATTTGGTTGATTGAAGTTTAAATGTCATCTATCTATCTATCTATCTATCTATCTATCTATCTATCTATCTATCTATCTATCTATCTATCTATCTATCTATCTATCTATCTATCTATCTATCTATCTATCTATCTATCTATCTATCTATCTATCTATCTATCTATCTATCTATCTATCTATCTATCTATCTATCTATCTATCTATCTATCTATCTATCTATCTATCTATCTATCTATCTATCTATCTATCTATCTATCTATCTATCTATCTATCTATCTATCTATCTATCTATCTATCTATCTATCTATCTATCTATCTATCTATCTATCTATCTATCTATCTATCTATCTACCTACCTACCTACCTACTTATCTATCTATCTATCTATCTATCTATCTATCTATCTATACGATTCATATGTTCTATTTTTGTTATTGATAATTTATTTGTGTGTGCTTATATTAAATGCATGTTAAAATCCTTTTGCACATTCACTCAATCGTTCATTCATTCTTATATTCATTCGTTTATTTATTTATTCATTTATTTATTCGTTCATTCATTCATTTATTCATTCATTCATTCATCCATTCATTCATTCATTGCTAGTTCATTCATAGGTTCAATCTAACTTTAGTACACAAAGCACCTGTGCCCGTGTATAATACATGTGTATGTATATTATATATGTATTTTTATATATGTATGTAAATATGTATGTTTGTATATGTTGTGTGTGTGTATGTATGTATGTATGTATGTATGTATGTATGTATGTATGTATGTATGTATGTATGTATGTATGTATGTATGTATGTATGTATGTATAACATCTTCAATGAAGTCTGCAGCTGGTTCTTTGCATCATCATCCTCATCATCATCCTCATCGTCATCATCATTTTCACTCTGTGTATGCAGAGCTTTCTTAAGATTCTCTCTCTTTTTTTCTCACTCTCTTTCTTTTTACTTGCCCTTTCTCTCTTATTCTCTCCCTTTTTTTCTATATCTTCAGCTGAAGAATTGTTTTTTTGTTGTTGTATGTCTGCTGTGTAGAACACACTTGGAGTTTTGAATGTATGCGTGTATGTATGTATGCATGTATGTATGCATGTGCGTATGTACGTATGTTTGTTTGTATGTATGTACGCAAGTATGTTTGTATAAGTACGCATTTCGTACGTTTGTCGTATGTCAGTTTGCAAGTCTGTATATATGCACGTTTTTTCTCTATACAGTTGCGAATATTTTAGCTTAGTATATTTATTTATCTTCATGTTTGTGTATGCTTTATTCTTTGATTAAAAACTGTTATCTATTTGTGTGTGTGTGTGTATGTATATATATATATATATATATATATATATATATATATATATATACGGAAAAAGAAAAGGTGAAAGAAAGTGAGAGAGAGAGAGAGAGAGATTCGTTAAAAGTTTGTGTATTAATGTTGTGTATCATCTGTAATGACTGCATTGTATCAGCAGTACGTACATCTATTGATAAATGGAGTACCTCATTCATTCTCCTCTCCTTCCTTCTCTCTCTACACTCAACATCCATTAATTAAAATCACATGTCTAATGCATAAGTCTCCTCATACATTGCCAACTGCATTCATTCTTTCATTTGTTCATTCACTTATTTATTTATTCATTTATTTATTCGTCCAATAAATCATTCATTCATACTTAATTATATACGCATAATATTTTGTTTATTAATTAAAATGTATGTGTGATTAGTTACGTATGCATGTGTTTACGTGTGCATGTATGTATTTTTGTATGTGCATGTACAAAGGTATGTTTGTGTGTATGTATGTATGTATGTATGTATGTGGTTGTATGTCTTTTAAATACAAAAACAATCACATACGTACATGCAACTTAGATTTATCTAGCAGTTCATTTAAACATAACATAAAAATCTCATGTAAACATATGTCATACTTGCAGTTGTAGTTTATATAACTATTTTTTCTCTATGACTCTTAGCTTGTTTTGATCATCCTTAATTTGTTTTACATGTATATCATTAAAAAATCTTCTGCAGTCTCTCTCTCTCTCTCTCTCTTTCTTTCTCTCTCTTTCTTTCTCTCTCTCTTTCTTTCTCTCTATTTATCTATCTAGCTATCTAGCCATCATCTATCTATCTAACCCTAACCCAATCCTGCCTGTGATGCCTGTGTGTTTTCCGTACAATGAATTTATCAATTAGCATGTTTAATTGTTTCATACAGTTTAATTATTGCACTTTATGCTATCTACATACAAACACACATACAAACGCACGCCCGTTTATGCATACATACATAAATACATAACAAAGCTTTAAAATTTTAAGTGAAGTATTGAATTTCTGAGGAAAACAGTTAATTATGATCAATAGGTTTTTTTTTTATTTCATTGTTTGGATATTTTCGGATTTTTGTTTTTTTTTGTCTTGCTTTTCATTTCATTGTTTGTTCGTTTGACTGATATTAGTCAAAAATTTCCATTGTCGTTGTTATTATCATCTATTTAGAAAAACAATTTCGTCTCGACTTTTCATACTCGTGTTTTTAACGAATACAAACTTAGATTTGCATACCTCTCTGACTGCAAAGACGTTTGAAAACACACCCATATAGTTACTAAGATAAATGCTGATACTCTGTCATTGTTAAGTTTTTTTGCTGGCAATTAAGTTATTTCATGAAAATTCTTCACATGATAATGATGATGATGGTGACGATGATGATAATGATGAGGAGTAGGAGGATTATGATGATGATGATGGAGGTGTTGGTGGGGGTGAGATGAATGTAGACTCAAAATGTTAGGACAACGAATCATGATGATGGTGATGACGATGACGGAAATTATGAAAATTTATTTTTACTTTTTTAATATGTCATCAGTTCATCTGTGCAACAGCCACTTCAAGCATCTAATATAATTTATCTTCAGCTAGTTTCATTCCATTTTATTAACTTCTTAAATTATGTCGGTAAACATGATGGGGAAGACGACGACGACGATGATGACGGTGATCAAGACAGTGGTATTTGTGAATACTGAATATTGAATATTAGCGATGATGCTGATTATGATAACAACGATGATGATGATAGTGATGGCACTCGATTTTAATATTTAAATATTTATTGTTTGAGGAACTGCATGATGCCATGGATTTTTCTCTGGCTTATTTTGTGTGTGTGTGTGTGTGCCTGTGTGTGTGTGCCTGTGTGTGTGTGTGCCTATGTGTGTGTGTGCGCCTGTGTGTTTGTGTGCATGCTGTGTGTATGTGTTTGTGTATGTGTTTGTGTATGAAGCACATTAGAGGTAAGCATGGGAACATGAATGACGGGCGGGAATGAGAAAAGTGAGAAAAATGACATCTACATGTGAGATATATACGTATATTTAACCTTATATAACTCTATATAACTCTATATATCCCTTTATAACTCTATATAACTATGTGCAACCCTATACAACTTTATATAACTATATAGCACTATAACTCTGTATAACTATATATAACTCTGTACATCTCTATATAACTCTATACAACTCTGTGTAACTCTTCTTGTTCTCACTTCTTGTTGACTCGTGTCATGAACGGGAATGAGGAAATAAATTGGGAGCGAATTGGGAATAAATTTCAATCCCCACTCACCTGCACAGCACATGTGTTACAAAGATATATGTGCATCTGTTTGACTTATTGACTATTTGCGGGCACACACACACACACACACTCACACGTACACACACAAACACACACACACATGATGGCTGACTAATGCAAACAAAAACCCTATGCCTGCTTATTGAACTTGCCAGTATGCGTGAATTTTAATTAATGAATCTTGTTTGTTTTTTTTTTAATGGATTATGGGCTCGGCTCCGCCTGGTTTGTTAATTAATAAATAAAAAGCATTATCTGATGAGTAGATGTGATTGTTGATTGATTAATTGAGCGCCGATAGTGAATGAGTGAATGAATGAAAGAATGAATGAAAGAATGAATGAATGAATGAATAACGGCCTCATTAAATTAAAAGTTTGATTGATAACTTGAAAGATAGATTGATTAGCCAGTTAAAAGATGAAAGAACTTATGTATGTTTGAATGGATTAATGATATTCTACATATAGTGGCTAGGATATTATATTAGTAATTGAAATAAATTAAACCAGTAAATCATTAACAGAAAATCTGTATGTGTGTGATTAAATATGAAGAAACTGCTTAACGGATATACAGATTGTATATCTGACCTTGTTTCTAAATGATTTTTTTTACTTCGTAGTGTTTTTTTTTCTAATGATTTATGCTCTAAGAATGAGTATAAATTTGTTTATTGGACCATATTTATGTATCTGTTTGTTTACGTTTACCATACTAAACTATGGTTATAATAATAAGGGCAGAGAAATTATTTTATTGCCATTCTAATGATCAATCGTGTGCTCATTCGTTGCTGATGGAGTGTAGAAATAGATAATTTGATTTTTGGGGTGGAGAGAGAGAGAGAGAGATATAGTTAAAATGAATGTTTGTTGATCAATACCCAACAGCTTCACCATGCATTCAACTAATTGTTTAATTGCCTAGCTTGTATGCGTAATAGATATTTTTGTTTTTCATTCAACTAACATGATTGACGTGACATGAACTCTTTTCCAATATTACACAGAAACATCCCTCGAACAATCCGGCACTAACTCGACTCTGCGAGATGGGCAGGGAACCGGAACGAACGCCATTCCTCGAGAAGTTGTTCACCTTCATGCAGAACCGCGGCACTCCTATCACCTCCCTGCCCTCCATCTGTAAACAGGTCATTGACCTATTTTCTCTCTACTTCCTGGTCAAGGAAATGGGCGGTATGGATGAGGTTTGTTTAAGTGAATGATTTGTTTTATGTTGGGTCCTCTTTTCCTGTTATTTGATTGGTTGACGTTGGGAAGGTTGGTCATGTGATTGATGAAATAGATAACATTTGATACGTTGTACAAAACGACCAGTTGAACAAGAGCAAGAAGTGGCGTGACATCAGTTCAAACATGGGCCTCGGGTCATCCAGTAGTGCTGGCTTCACCCTGAAGAAGAACTACGCCAAGTACCTCTACCCGTTCGAGTGCAAGTTCGATAGGGGCGACATCGACCCCCTGCCGTTCTTGTCCAGTTTGGATTCGCTTGGAGGCCTCGCGAAGAGAGATGCCTCCGCATTTGCCAGTTCGAAGAAAGGTCTCAGTGATAAGCCTAATGTCGACACTAATGGTGAGTGTGTTTCATTTTTTTGGAGAAAAAATTTCATTGAAAATGTTTTTCTTCAACTAATTAGAATTGCCTGAGGTGTTGTTTAGTCTATTTTCATTCGTTGATTTCGTTTTATTCTATTTTTTTGTTGTTTTAAAATTTTTTTTATTTCATTACTTATTAAATGTTTGATAATCGTGCTTATTAACACAGATCCAATTGTCGGTTGTTTTTAATTATAATGTGTATGTATATTTATTTTATAGTAGATAGATCTTCTTTATTTTTTACTATGACGTCATCAATATTTAACTACCTCACTATCACCACTCACTTCATCGTTACTATCAACACTGATGACTACTTTGCGACCACAGACTCCAACTCGGCGTCAAGCGATTTCGGTGCATCAGTTAGGGGCAGTCTGACGTCGCCACCACCTCGCAGCAACAGCAACCACAGCTACCACGAGGATCATCATCAACATCAGCATCGTCGTCATCATCAGCCTCATCAGCAGCAACATCATTCAAGATCGTTGCAATCGCCAGAGTTCAATAGCAGGTTCTTTTGTTTGGTGTACTTGGTGAATTGCTTGGTGATTTGAAGAGGATGAAGATGGTGAAGATAATAATGATGCTGACAGCAATGACGACGACGATGACGTTTATGATAATGAAATAATGATTAGAACGTTTTTTTATGACTGTACAATTTTTCTGAATTTTTCTCCTAACTGGCTTGACATTGATCCAGCAGATTGGATATGGCATCGCCATCATCTGTCGACAGTTTCACCTCATCCCGATACGCATATTCCTCAACCTTGCACCACCGATCGCATCAGCAGCAGCAACAACATCCTCCATCTCATTCTTCTCATCCTTCTTCCTCTAATTATCCTGCCACTCCTACTGTTCCTGCCAAATCCTCTTCCGATAATTTCTTACAAGGTGAAAGTTCAAGATGTAGTAATGAACAAGGTGAATGTTTACGGTATTCATTTGCCTGGTTGATTGATTGGTTGATTGATTGATTGATTGATTGATTGATTTGTTGATTTATTGATTGCTTTGTTATGATATCTGTAGACTGATATGAAACGAAAGTTGTTTGACGGTTTGGTGTTTGTAAAACAATCTGTTCGCCATTATGCATTGGTTAAATAAATGCTACCACATGGATTTAAATTGTGACCTCCCTTTTAGGTGGCGCCCCATGGATGCCCCCTTATTACCCCCCCTACAACAATCAATCATTCCCTGTACCGTCTACATCAAACCATAGTCAGTACATGAATCCCAACGTCAGCATGCATAATAACATGAACAGACTGCCTATCAGACCAGAGTTACAGGTCTGTGTGTTTCTCTTTCTGCTCGTTCTTAGTTCAGATATTTTGGATTTTCATTTACTTTATAACTTTTTTTTCATTAATTCATTTTAAATATGAAAAGTTGAAGTTCATGGTGAATATTGAAGTTTATATTTTTTCCCTCTTTAGAGATTCATCCCCGTTGGCTGGAGTTGCAATCTGCAGCCCGCTTCAGGCTCTTCCTTGTTCCCCGCTGGTTCAGTTGAAGCCACCAAGCCAACGCCATCTTCAATTAAAAGAAAACTTACTCACAGAGATATCGGTTAGATATTTTTCATAGATAGTTGTTTTTTGTATCTCCTCTTTCATGTGGCGCTTCATTTTTAGAGGCATGAAATTAGAATGTCAGATTTCATTTTACTTTTTTTTACAGTAAAATATGTTTCATTATTTCAATTGTTAAGTGAAAGGTGATCACTGAACAGCAAACAAACACACCAACAATTAACAACAGGTAACATCGACCCCTGGCATATCTTGATGTCATTGAAGTCTGGTCTCCTGAGTGAAACAAAGTGGGCCCTCACTGCCCTTCTCACCCTCAGCCGGGACGACCAGACGTACAACTACATCAACCTCAACGGCCTGCCTGGTCTCCTGGAAACACTGCTCGAACACTTCAAACAATCACTCTCATCACTTTTTCCAGACGGATTCCAGGGACTCGAGATATCATCTGAAGATCAGCACAGAGATCGAAAGAAGAGGAAGCTCGATGGCAGATACGTTCATGATGAGGATGAAGACGACGACGATGTGCGTTCATCTTCACTGCAACTCAGTCCTGCTGAAATTTTAGAGTTGACAAAATTCTGCAAGAAGAAGCAGCATAGACACCAGCAGATGATCAGGAGCAAGTTGAAAAGTAGGAAGAATAAACCGTCAACATCGTCGACTTCAACAACGTCATTAATTCGATATTCCAACAAGGTGTCCTGTTCCACATTTCTAAATGAGTTTGCAGCGAAGGATTGGGACCATCACGGATTGTTAGAAAGCTCGTCATTTGATTGGCTGATGGGCAGAATGGACACCACCATGCACATCCAATCATCCGTCACAAACTCTCGGTCCATTAACGAGGATTCAGATTCAAAAAATTTCAAAATCAAATATTTCGGCGCCAAGAGGTTGAAGTTGATGGATGAAACTAAACCTTCCGCTCGGAAGCAAGCTAATAGCTGTCTGCATAATAATGATGAAGTTAACATTGGTGTTGATTGTGAAATCTCTGCTAGTCGATTGCTGAGCTCCAACAATTTCAGTGCTGTTGTAAAAAATGATGCTCCAACAACCACCTCCGTTCACAACATCAACCATAATACTCTCGCAACAACGACAACAACCACTACCATAAATGTTACTGCTGCCAATATAACTGCTACCACAACTTCAACCACAGGTGACCTCATGTCCGCTCACGTTGCTTCTACTGCTTCTACTAACAACGTTAAAAACATCATCTTGAACAAAAATATCGTCATTAATAATGGTGGTAGTGTCAATAATGTTGATACGGGGATGGCTGCTGGTACCTCCTGCGATTTGAGTTCGTGTAATAATTTTAACGAGAATCATAATAAACCGGATAGTGGTGGTAAAATTAGTATTAGCAACTCTAGTAGTATTTGTAGCAGCAGTAGTAGTGATTTCGCTAGTAACATTAGCAGCAGTAGTAACAGTATTAACAATGTTTGTAATTCTGATAGCGTTAATTGCAAAAACATTACAACGACCACCAACAATGTTCTAGATGATTCTATACTGTCGAAAACATTACTCTCGTCGTCAACATCGTCATCATTAACGTCATCGTCGTCAACAGTCTCGTTTCTGACGTTAGCGTCATCATCATCATCGTCATCATTATCTTCACCAGTGACAACATCATCGTCAACAACAGCCACAACAACAACGACATCCACACCACTACTAACGACGGCCACGCCGGTACTAACGACAGCCACAAGACGACAACAACACAAAAGTAACAAATGCTTTCATCAGTTGATCGACAGCCTCAATAACTTCACAGACACTGACGATTCTACGTCATTCTCGTGCTCTCAGATTGAGGCCCTGAATGCTACCTGTATGGACGACAGGGCTTGGTCTTTTTTTGATTTCAATCATGATGAAACACCTCAGAAATTACCAAGACTATCTTCTACTGCAGCTTACAATGACAAAGATGATAACAGATTATTGAATAAAGCTTTCACATCTGAATCAGATCAAAATAAGAAGAATAACAACTCTAATGATAATAATTTGAGAGATTGTAAGAAAAACTTGAAAAATATGAGTTGGTATGATGAGGTGGTCGTACCAGATGAAGGAGCTTTCTGCAACATAAGCACTCTGAAATGGGAGCTAATATCAAAATGTTTGACTGTTATGACCATCGTAAGGAACATTTCCTTCGTTATCATGAATGACGTCGAGCTATCGAAACACCCGGGCTTGATACTTGTTCTTGCAAAGTTACTAAGACTGAATCACAAGCATAGAGTGAGGCAGTTTGTCTCTGAACTGGATGATTATGTGGATGACGAGTTTGAAGGTGGTGACCTCCTTACAGACGATGACGAAGCAAATGCTGATGCGTTTTGTAATGATGGTAAATTTTCTTCAGCCAAGTCAAAAACTGCCCGTTCGTCGACATCAAAACTGACAACTACCACTCCAGACATCCATGATAATAAAAGTACAGACAGTTCCCTGCAACACGCATCCAGTTTGAATGCTGTCGACAAGAATCATGTCAGTGAAGCTGGTCATGACGTCATTGTTGAGGAGGAAGACGACGACTTTAAAGATGATGTTTTATGGTGGTCGGTAGCTGAGAACCTGAGAGAGAACTCCTTGGTGATCCTGGCTAATATATCCGGTCAGCTGGACTTGACGAGATTTCCTGAAGAGATATGCATTCCTCTGTTAGATGGGCTGTTGCATTGGATGGTCTGTCAGACCAACGATCCCAATGACGACGCTTCCTCGCATCAGCAACTCCACCAACACCATCATTACTTTTTCAACAGCAGCAGCAGCAACTTCAACAATCAAGGGGACCAACTGACATTCAGACGTCTGGCACTGGAGTCCCTCAGTAAATTATGTGTACTCGATTCGAATGTTGATCTCCTTCTGGCCACACCTCCATTCAGTCGGACCTTCCTACTCGTGGTCAAGTTGGTGAACCTGTTCGAGGAAGGTCAGCCCCTGGTCGTCAGAGAGATGTCCGTCGGTTTGATATCGAGGCTACTACCAGCCGACCCATCCATCTGTCGAATACTGGCCCTACAGCGCACGTTCATCTCGTCGGTAGTAAATTTCATCGAGTCGTGTGTCGATGGCAGACTGTCGATTGTTGAGGCGTACGGCCAGAACTCGCAGCAGTTTGCGTCCCTGTCGAATGCCTCGACGAGCATCGACGTCCTCTACAGAGTGGCCGTCATCTTGAAGACGCTGTCGGAGGCAGCCGAGAACAAGAAGCTAGTAGCCAGGTACCAGCAGCGTCTGCTCATGCTCGCGACATCTTCATCTCTTCATAAAAAAATCACATCTATAATATCGTCGATTCTTTACACTTGCATTTGATTTGTTCTTTATTGTAGTGGTAGTTAATTGATACTTTTGTTGTTGTTTTTTTTTAATATTTATATGACCACGTGTGTGTGGTGTGGTGTGTGTGTGTTTCTCTATGTGTGTGTGTGTACACTTAGAAGCATACGCCTCAATATATTTATAAATATATATGTATGTATAAAAATGTTCTACGAGGCAGAGTTTGCGCTAAACTACATGTTGAGTTTGCATGTATGCGTCCATTTAATTGATCTTAATTTACGTCATTCATTCATTCATTCGCTCACTCTTTCATTCATTCATCTATTCATCCATCTATTCATTTATCAATCAATCAATCAATCGGAAACCAACCAACCACCAAATTAACGAGATCTTTGACATTAAGTTACTTCATCACGGGGTAATAATCTACATTTAAATTACATAGAATGCGCGTCGTCATATATATATATATATACACACATATATATATATATGTATATATATATATATATATATACTTTGTTGTTTGTGTTCACCTAGATACAATTTTGTTGAATATCCCAAATCAGTTCAGTTCATTAGTTTAGGATTGATTGATTGATTGATTGATTGATTGATTGATTGATTGTTTGATTGATTGATTGATTGATTGATTGATTGATTGATTGATTGATTGATTGATTGATTGATTGATTGATTGATTGATTGATCAGTTGATTAAAATTAAACAAGCATCTTTGTTACTCTCATTATAACGTACCGACTATAGTTCAATTTTTATAACTAACTACTATTAATTTAACGAATAAATGATTGATTGATTGATTGGTTAATTGGTTTTCAAGACATTTTATTTATGTATTGTAGATATTTTCTAAGTGAATTGCTAACCAGTAAACATTTTACTGATGGGTGACTTGATTGATTTGTTCATTTAATTAATTAATTAATTCATTCATTCATTCATTCATTCATACTCTCTTTTATTTGTTCATTCATTCGTTCGTTCATTTCTTCGTTGGATTGAATATTTTTTGTATGTATATATGTTTATATATATATATATATATATATATATATATATAATGTATATATATATATTATATATATAGTGGTTTTAATACACTTTAATTCACTTGTGAAACCATGCTGATATATTATATTCTTTTATTATTATTGTAATTATTATTATTATGTTAGATATATGTACATAGTACATAGATAAATACGTATATATATATATATATATATATATATATATATATATATATATATATATATATATATATATATATATATATAACCCTACCAGACAATTCAACAGCCTACATTGGGTATTTGTTGATTTGTATTATACTATCACATCATCATCACCATCATCAGTAGTAGCAGAAGCAGCATCAGCAGCAACAACACCATCCACAACATCGTCATCACCATCTGAGCAACAAACATCCACGTCCTCATCGCCATCATTATGGTGTATTTCATTGTATCATATTGTATATATTTTATTGTGTATAGTGATGTTGTACGTTTATACCTATATATATATACATATATATATATATATATATATATATATATATATATATATATATATATATATCTATATATATATACTTATATGTCTATGAATAGTTTTTTTTATCATTGTTACTTTGTTTACGTTTCGTTTCGTTACGTTTCGCTACGTTTCGTTTCGTTTCGTTACGTTGCAGTTGTTTTCTTTTCTTCTTTCATGAAGTGTCGTGCGTGCCGTTAGACTCCATTTCATAGACATTGTTGTTGTTGTTGTCGTTGTTGTTGTTGTTGTTTGTTTGTTGATTATTATTACCACCACCATCGTCATCATTATATTTTTTATTATTGTGATTATTATTATCATCACTATGATTATGACATCATTGTTGCGTCATCATCGCTTCTATTGTTATCATCATATCTTTCATCACAGTACCATCATCACTATCCTTGGAAGCGTTGTTATTATTATTATTATTATTAATATTGTTGTTGTTATTATTATTGTTATTATTTTTATTTTTTTGCTTTTTTTTGTTTTGTTTCAGTTAGACGGGACGATGGTACGAATAAGCACCCTGTATAGTTTTGTCATTAATGTGTACTTATATTAGTAGTGTGCATATATATATATATATATATATATATATATATATATATATATATATATATATATATATATATATATATATATATATATATATATATATATATATATATATATATATATATATTAGTCTGTCACGTGATATAACTTAACAATAGGCGTCTGTGTCTTGTTTTTTAACATTCAATACTTTTGTTATATATATATATATATATATATATATATATATATTTATATATATATATATATATTTATATATATAATGTAATATCGTCGAAATTGACGTAAAATCATTATCATCGTTTTGTAGTAGTGATGGCCATCATCGCAATCACCATCATCATCATCACTCAGTCCTTCATTCATTCACTCTTTCATTCACTCATTTATTTATTCACTCATTCATTCATTCATTCACTCATTCATTCATTCAATCACTCATTACAAAAAATAAGAAGACAGACTCACGTTTTTATTTTCATTGTGATTTGAAAAGGGTCATTATATCCTTCTATATATATATATAAATATAAATATATATATATATTATGTATATATATATATATGTATATAAATATATATATATTATGTATTTATATATATATATGTATATAAATATATATATATATATATATACGATTTTATATTGTTCATGATGATGTGCATATGTACGTTGTATTGTGTTCTTATCATTCATTTTTTTCTTTCTTTCATTTTTTATAGTTGCTATTTTATTGTTATTCTTCTTATAATTATTCTTATTTTTATTATTATTATTATTGTTATTATCATTACTGATGATGATAAGTTTCTTTCTCTACTGATTACGACTACGATGGTGATAATGATTGCGCTTAAAATGGTGATGATGATGATGATGATTCTATTTGAGATGATGACGACGATGATGATTATTATTATTTTCGTCTTGTTATAATAATAATATTAATATAATTTTATTATTATACTTATTGTTATTAATGTTGTTGCTGTTATGTTATTATTGTTATCATCATCCACTTTATTATTATTGTAATTACTGTTATCATCGATAATATAATTATTATAATTATTATGACCATAATTATTGTTAGTGCTATCATTAATATTGTTGCGTTACATACATATATGATATGATATAATATACGAATTAATACCAATACAACTTTGTTGTTTTCTGTTTATTATTTCATCTTTTTATCTATCTCTTTATCTATCTATCTTTCCTTCTGTCTCTCTCTCTTTCTCTGATTGTCTATCTGTCTGTTTGTCTGCCTGTCTGTGTTTCTATCTATCTATCTATCTATCTATCTCTCTATCTATCTATCTATCTATCTATCTATCTATCTATCTATCTATCTATCTATCTATCTATCTATCTATCTATCTACCTACCTACCTACCTATCTATCTATCTATCTATCTATCTCTATCCATGTGTATCTTTATATATCTCTATATCTATTTATTATATATTTCAATTTCGGTTTTACTCGACAGAATCGTTAAAATAAAAATCATAAAATAAATAATCATAACGACGATACGATACGTTGGGACGAGTTTATTAATCAGCTCTAAATGCTCTTCATGTAAAAAATTTACTACTAACTCGTTAAGTTTAACTTGAACCACTTGGCTTTGTGTGTGCGTGTATGTGTGTGTACGTGTTTGTGTGTTGAGAGAAAGAGAGAGAGAGAGAGAGAAAGAGAGAGAGAGAAGACAAAAGCGAGTTTAATTAATCATAAAAGAAAACGAGTCGTGTGCAATTGATAAAAGGTCGTTGAAGATAATGCATGTAATGATAACAGTGTTTCTCTTATCACACTCTCGTTCTCGTGTTTGGTTAACACCTTTTTATCGTGTTTGTTCGTTCGTTCGTTTGTTCGTTCATTCAGTTGTGCGTGTCGCCAACGTTAAAGTGTCGTTTTGTTGATGGATTGTGTTATTTTGAAGTTTTGCTCTGTAGTTGACGTTGATGGGATTGTTGCTTCGTCGAACTAAGTTAGTCGTCGGTCTAATTTAATATCGTCTGTTACTGTTACTGCTGCAGTATTGAAGTGCTAAACCGTTTAACTCCAGTTTACTACAACTCTGACATCTTTCACATGAAAATGATGCACACGTACGAATGCTCGCAAGATTCAGATAATTTCCTCGCGACGAAAAGTGATTCCCGGTGCAACAACAGACAAAATTACTGCGACACTAATTCCTACAGAGATGATTTCTACACTGCGACTTGTGCTATGAACGATAATGTGCAGTCCTATCTATACTCTAATTTCGATTCAGTTGACGCTAACACGAAGAACGTGTGGGCCGAAGATGTATGCGGGAGAAACAATGACTTCTATGACGGAATTGCCCGTTCTATGAACGACGGTCATGCACACCACATGAATGTTCCATTTTGTAATAATTTTGATGCTAGCTACGCGTCAGCCGTTGCGGCTACTCGTGAGGAGTTTTTTCCATTTAACAGTTTCTCGTCAAAATTCTCTTCCATTTGTAACGATTTCAACGATAGCGGCTGCTTCAACTCCAGTGATTTCGCTTCAAGTCACGACGGTTCGAATTGCACAGAAGATGATGAAGGCGATGATTTGTACGAGGACGATGAATACGACGACGATGATGACAATGGCCGTTTCAAAAGTTTCATCGGCGGGTTTCCATTTCGTAAATTAAAACATCAAAGGTGATTAATTTTCAGTTCCTATTTAAATAGCCGAACAAATCAGCAAGTTTGTAATCTTCATTTAATGAAAAGATATGAGCTAGATGTCATTGCATCACTTTTATATAAATTGAATTTGCCATCTCATCAAAAAAATCTCTTACACAAAACATTTTAACCAAATTTTATAGGAAGCAATCGAATCAAAGGCAAGCGGCAAACAGTCGAGAGAGGAAAAGGATGAAGACGATGAACAGCGCTTTCGAAATTCTCCGCCAACGACTTCCCATGAGGTGTAAGTCACTTGGAGATAAGAAGTTATCGAAAGTTGATACACTGAGGTCTGCTGTTGACTACATCAGGTGCCTGGTTAGATTTCTGGCTGGTGACGAGAATGAGGAGATGAATCAGGAAGATGATTTGGAAGAAAGATTCAAAGGTAGATGGAGTTTTTAATTTGGTATTTACATAGCAATTTTAGCATGTCTTTCTTGTTAAGATGTTCAGACATCTTAGTTGATATTGTTCTGAAGTATTTTGATGTAAAAGTTAATTTTTTCGATTGAATATATTTTAATAAAATACGTATACCTCTTGTATCATTTTGAAGTCTGGCAACATTAATAATATCTTAATTTAAATCAGAATTAAAGTTTTGTTCCGATTTTTAGATGGTCCTCCTGCTACAAGAACCACTACGTCACAGTTGAGAACTACGAAAAACAGCAACCATTTGACCACAGCCACCAACTCAAGGAAGAGTATTTCAACAGCCGCCCAAGCAACCAGCAGCAGAAGCTACAAACTCAGCTGCCAATTCAACCGCAAGAGCGAGAGATCAAAAAATTCGATGATGATGGCCATGATGATGATGCAGGCAGGGGCCAGCAATGACGTCAATTGGTCGAAATTTATAAAACCGAAACTGAAAGTCATTGGGAAGTTGTGGACTCCGCAAGCTGCACAACGTATTGATTCGCAAATTTGAAATTTATATTAAAAATCACTAACTCCCTGTAGAGATCGATTCGCCTGACGTTCGTGCAAATAAATACGTTTTGAAAATTTTACCATCGGAATAAACTTATCACTAATTGAAAATTACCAACTCAACTTCATTTATATACAATTCTCAGTTATAAAACTATTGAGAAAAATTTATATATATACTATAATATATGAAGAAGCAACTCATAAAAATGCTGTAAAACGGTCGTATGAGTTCATTCGGCAAATTCCTAATTGTTTCGGTTAAGTATTTCTTAATTTGTTAAGCGCTACAAAATCCTATAATCAGAGATTGAAATTAAAAATGGTAATGAATTTCTTAAAAACTTTTTTATTGATAAAATAAAATAAAATAATGACAAATCTTAAAGTAGGAAGTAAAAATTATTATCAATACAAGTAAAATGACATTATCCACACAAAAATAAACACAAACTCACATACATATGTACACACACATACATACATACACAACAAACATTTACACACACCTACACATGCATACATACATACATACACAGTAAACATTCACACAGTACACACGCATACGTACAAATATATACAAAAACATTTTATATAAAAGTTGTATATTCAATGTTAATTAAAATCATACATAGAAACTGCAAGCATAAAAACGCAGACATGTATACACACTTACACACACACACACACACACACACACACACACACACACACACACACACACACACTACACACACACACACGTACACACGTACACACACATCACTGTACAGACACATGTGGAGTCCATTTAAGACAGGACGGATCGATGACTTGATTTTCATCCAGCTTCTTCAAACTTTTCCTCTTTAAATGCTCGTCTATGAGATCCTAGGATAATATCAATTACAAAAAGAACGATGATGAAGATGATGATGATGATGATAATGACGCAGCAAACAACAAGCAAACAAATAAACAAACAAAAAACAAAAGCAAACAAACAACGAACACATCACGTAACAAACAAACAAATAAATATAAAACAGCTAACAGTACACACACACACACGCACACACACACGCACACACACACGCACACAGCTCACTTGTTTCTTTAGTATAAGGTGTTTCCCTTTCCAATACTTCAGCATTCCCATAGCCTGCAATGTACTGACAATGTCGTTGGCATTTATGCCTGTTTCCTGGCTCAAATCTAAGAAAAAAATTTTTAAATATCCTTAGATATATTTTAATTTATCACACACACACTCACGCACACACACACACACAAGCAAACACACACACACACAAACAAACAAACACACCAAGAAGATATACAAACAGACAGACAGACTGACCTTTGATGGAAATATCTCTCTCCTTGCAGCAGTTCAAATAATTGAGTAGCACATCCTTCCAGTAACTTCTGTAACTTATGAGACCCAGATCGCTTAGGGGTCGTTCGGGTGACCCTACCTTATTCTCCATGCGGGTCAGGAGGTAACCTGAATAAATTTCCATAATTATTTTTTATTATTTAAGTATTATTTATATCAATATTCATGCTATAGCATTGATTTCGGATGTACGCGTGTGTGTATACATATGTGTGCGTGTGTGTGTGTATACATATGTGTGTATGTATGTTTGTATGTGTGCGTGTGTGTGTATACATATGTGTGTGTAACATATGTGTGTGAGTGAATATGTTTGTATGTGTGCGTTTGTGTGTATATATACGTGTGTGTATGTGTGCGTGTGTGTGTGTGTGTCATAAAATGATTGATTAAAGAAAAAGAAACAAAACGAGGTGCAACCACTACTCACTGAAATCAATTAGCATCTTTCCATAACCTTTCCTCATGTATGCGGGCATGGTCAAGATACATGAAACGTTATAGTTTAAGAATGACTGCTTCTCCTAACGATACATTATACATCGTAATTAAACAACTGTATATCATGATATAATATCATTGTAATTAAACAACTGTATATCATGATATAATATCAACTTAATTGAATAACCGTATATCATGATACAATATCAACGTAATTAAATAACTGTATATCATGATATAATATCAACTTAATTGAATAACCGTATATTATGATATAATATCATCGTATTAAATAACTGTATACCATGATATAATATCATTGTAATTAAACAACAGTAGATCATGATACAATATCAACGTAACTAGATAATAAAACAAACAAATAATCTTTATAATAACAAAATTAAATAATAATAATAATAATAATAAAATAATTATAAAATGATAAAAAAAATATTAATAATGAAAAAAGTTTATAAATAATAAACAAATTGCGAAAATATTGCAGTAATAATAATATAATAATAATAATAATCAAAAAAATATTAATAAAATAATAATCAAAAAATATTAATAATGAAAAAAAATTATAAACAACAAACAAATTGCGAAAATATTGCAGAGAAAAAAAACGCGCCAGTAACCTTGGAGAAATACCCCACCATGTGGCAGCCCTGATTGTCAGCCTCGGTCATGATGTAGAAGAGGAACGGTTCAACGTCGTAGTAAAGGGTCTTGTGGTCGAGAAAGAGCTTGGCTAGGAGGCAGAGATTTTGGCAGTAAATCTGAGGAGTGAGTGAGTTAGTGAGTGAGTGAGTGAGTTAGTGAGTGAGTGAATGAGTGGGTGGGTGAATGAATGAGAGAGTTAGTAAACGAGTGAGTGAGTGAATGAATGAGTGAGTGAGAGAGTGAGTGGATGAGTGAATGAGTGAGTGAAAGAATGGTGGACATGGGATGATAATAATGATGAAAGTGAGAATGCTGATGATAATAGATGTAATAATGATGATGAGGATGATTGAGAATGATGAAGAATGAGAATGATGACAAACTACTACTGACTTTATTCTTTTTGCCATCAACTTCAAAGACAGACAGATTGCCTTTTCTGTAGATTTCATCACCAGGCGGATGCCTCCACACGCATTTGGCCTACACAGTAGTGGATCAACCAATCAACCGATCAATCAATCAACCAATCAATCCACCAATCAACCAATCAATTAATCCACTTATCAACCGATCAATCAATCAACCAATCAATCCACCAATCAATCAATCCACTTATCAACCGATCAATCAATCCACTAATCAACCAACCAATCAATCCACTAATCAGCTAACCAACCAACTAATCACAAACAAGCAAGCAAACAAACCAACCGCATGCCTTCGGGTTATGACGGAAGTTTTCATGTACTTCAGGCAGTACTCGCAGATGTAGATTTTTGGCAATCTGGAGTATTCCTCGGGGTAGGGCGAGGCGTACCAGGTCTCCATCTCGTACCGGCCCATCTCCATCTTGCAGATTCTGTACTCTTGCTTATCGCTTAGCTGGTAGTGGGCTGTCATCTCGTAGCTCTGCAAATGTGTGTACGTGTGCGTGTGTATGTATGAGGTGTGTATGTATGTATGAGGAGTGTATGTGTGTGTGAAGGCATACGCGTGTGTGAATGCGTATGCGTGCGTGTGGTGTGTATGTACGTGTGGTGTGTATGCACGTGGCATCACCGTTATTATTACTGACCAACTCCTCGCAGGCCTGTATCTGAGCCTCCCTAAAGAGCTTGAGATCGAACTCAGTGGTCAGTCCAGTTAAGAGAGGTTCCCTGGTCATCTGGTAGAGGTCTCTATGCTGGCTATGCTGCTCTTGTAACTCTTCACTCATCTCAACCTACAAGTGCGCCGGTCAGTTCAATGAGTGAGTGAGTGAGCGAGTGAGTGAGCGAGTGAGCGAGCGAGTGAGTGAGTGAGTGAGTGAGTAGGTGTGTGGGTGGCTAAGTGAGTGAATAAGGGCGATGACATGAAGTCACACAACCTTAAACTTTGACCTTTCTTCCATGACCTTTCGATGATACTCTTGCTGTTCTGATGTTGCAGCCTTTTAAAGGATGATGGAAAAATGAAAAAAACGTAGAAGAAACTTTAAAACTTTTTAAGTAAAATAAAAATTGTTTAACATATATTCGCTATCGGCCATAATAATAAAACCTTATTTCTTAAGCCCCGTCTATCGTCAGGTGCTGTTGTTTTTCTTTTCTCTGATACTATCTCTCTATCAAGTAGTCTTGCCTGTGAATGAGTGTGTGTGTTTGTTTATGTGTGCGTACGTGTGTTTGTATGTGTGTTTGTTTGTACGTGTGTACGTAAGTGTGTTGTTATCAGTAGCTGATTATTGACATGTGTAATTTTATGAAAAACAACAACATATATAGGATAAGCGACGAAGAATAAACTACAACAAAGAATTAACAACAACAACAACAACAAAGACTAAACAACATAAGAAACAAAGACATATAAATACAAAATCATACATCTATGCACCTTGCATTCATCAACACTCATATTATGATAGAGAGGGCAGGCACTTAATGTTCTATGTTTGTCATACTTTCCTGTTATGTGACCTGCAACAAATTGTGTGTGTGTGTGTGTGTGTACGTGCGTGTATGTGTGTTTATGTATGTGTACGTGTGTGTGTGTGTTTATGTACGTGTGTGTGTGTATGTTATAAGATTGATCAGGTCATCGCCATCATCATCATTATTTACATCATCATTATAGTTCTTACCTTTAGAATCACAGCCAGGAAGGGGGCACCTGATGATGTTATCAGTTGTATACTTCAAACTGTTCTCAGCCACGACTCTGGCAGCTCTTCTTTCACTTTGTGAATCTTCCCCACCATCCATCAGCCCCAAAATAGAGGCAGACCCCAGAGTGGCAGACGAATTGAGCCCTTTCCGCCCCCTCTTACCCCGGCCTGCATATTTTCCAGATTTGCCTGTGTTGATTGTGTCTTTGTTGGTGGTGTTTGTTTTGTCGTCTGTGTTGTTGTTGTTGTTTGTGCTGCTGCTGTTGTTGGTGGTGGTGACGTTGTTGTTGTTGGGCGTTGATGGGTTTTCATCTCTGGTGGTTGATGGTTTTTTGGCTGATGTTGAGTTGCTGGTTGATTCATCTAACAGGTGATCTGGATGAAGTTGAAAATAATTTTAAAATAACAAAAAATATAATTGAATTTTTTTTCTTCCATCCAACAAGTTAAAGAGAAAATGAAATTGACACACAGGCCAGACAGGAACAAAACCAAAAAAAAACACAAAACAAAAACAAACAAAACAAAAAACTAACAAGATGAATTTCTCCGAGTACTTCTCCTAGTCGAGACATTTAGTTTGTCATTTGTTTCAGCTGCACTTTCGTTACTATCGTCAGAATCGTCGGCAGATGCAGTTGTCACAGTAGGAGAGCCGGGTTCATCCTCACCTACTTTCTGCTATTAAGTGGGACCATTATGCAGAATTAGTATACAGACATTCTAGTTTAGTAATATTACATTATTAGCAATATTGAATTGTAATGGTGAATGGTTTCCCAATTTATCAACACAATTAATATAATAAACAATTATACATAGAAATGAAAATAAGATAAAAAATGTTAAAATTAAGAATTATTATGTCTATTGTTTTGTAGTTATGTAACATTGATGACATCATTCAAATATTTCCCTAATTTCAATATTGGTGCAATTCACATCTCAGCATTTAATAGTCAGAAAAACTACTCTAAAACACCATTGCATCCATTTATTTTTTTTTTAAATTTGGCATATTTATTGAAATTAAACTAACTTTACTATAAATTATATATTAAAATAATTATATTCAAACACAAATGAGATCAAAAACTCAAGAAGGAAGAGTTTCAGAAAGTTCAAAGACAAAGGCAAAAAATGGCAGGGACAAAAAGTCATCTGGTAGTAGAAACAGAAACCGCAGCAGCAACTGCAAGCCGGAGAAGCAGCAGAAGAATGGTGAAGTCTTTGAGTCGAAGAGTAGACATCACTCAAAGAGTAAAAGTGGGGGCCAAGACAACAAGGGTGGGAAGACTATTAAAACTAAGAGTAGGACGGTGGTGAAAATCTGGATAAATGGCCGTTCCATTCAATGAAGCAGGAGTCTTCTCATCTTCCTAAATTGAACCAAAAAGTAAAAAAGGTACCCAACCAAGATTGTACCAAATTAGGACGATATAAATATTTACATAATAACAATAATTATATATTATAATATAATAATTATAATTATTAATATTTATAATACAATTACAAACAAGAACTATTGAAAATAAATATGATGCAATGACGTTAAGAATTCTAGCGTAAAAAATTTGTAAATTTATTAAAAAAATGTTGAAATAAAATCATGTAATAACCATAGATTTTCTTTTCGGCATTTCGTTATTCTATTTAAAGAAAAATTTGAAATTTGAAATAGGCAAAACGTAAGAAAACTTAACCACAATGTTAATGTAAACAAAGATAAGTAATTATTGTCCTTAATAAAATAAGTTCATTTTTAAAAATGTAACTCATATCTACCGTAAGTTTTCAAACAAAATCATTAAAATAAGTTTCAAACAATAGTACAAAATGCAAACAATATATTTCAAATTTGAAAAACTATTTTCTACAAATTTTTATAATAGTTAATTTCGTAACAAATGCTGAAAGTTATTAACAAATGATTGTAAAATTGAACATAATCATGCATTACAAAAATCGAATTTCGAGGTACTATACTTAAAATTACATTGTTTCAAACGACCAATTATAGATTATGGCGGTACCTGAAAACTACAAACATATTCACATATACACACACACATGCGTACATATATATATATATATATATATATATATATATATATATATATATATATATATATATATATACATACGTATATACACACATACGTGCATACATATATATATATATATATATATATATATATATATATATATATACATACATACACACACGTACATACATGCATACATATATATCCACAGGTACATACATAAACACGCTAAACATCTCTTTTGAAGTTTGGTTTTTAAATGGATATCAGCTTAACAGCACATAAAATCACAATAAAAAAAGAGTCGTAAAATCAGATGTAACCAAATAAGTAAAAAGATGACAAAAAGGAAAGAAGAGAAAAAAAGAAAAATAGAGAAGCTGAGAGAGTGAATGAGAAAAAGTGAAAGAAAGAGAGGAGAGAGAGACAGAGAGAGTTGTAACAGTTGCTCCAAAATTTGCGCGTGCATGCAGTGGAAATAAGTAAATACATTGATATAATTAGCCCTTACATTTATTTAACCTAACTGATGTGAGGGGACTGTTGTTGTTATTGTCGTTGTTGTTGTTGTTGTCGTTGTTGTTTCTGCTGTTTGTGTTTGTTGTTGTTGTTGTTGCGGTTATTAATGTTTTTTCATGTTTCGCTGGTAGAATTGTAATGTTATTGTTGACGTTGTTTTTGCTATTATTTGTTTCACTTTTATGGATTTGTTTGATGGATGATGTTTGTTGTTGATGTTTTTGATGTTGTTGATGTTTTTGACGATGTTAATATTACCATTGTTGTTAGTTGATGTCATTATAATGTTGCTAATGTAATTTGGTTAATGTAATTTGGTTAATGTATCTTAGAACAACATTTCATTCGTTGATTAATCTTGAGTTGTAAATTTCCAAGTTTTTCGATATTTTTTTGTATGTAGCGGTTAGTTAAACAAAGAATGTCGGTGTTGATGTTGTTGATGTAACTGTTGAGTTTCGTCATTGCAGTTGTTGCGTTGGTGTCATCACGTGTTGATATTTATGAAAGTTATACTGCAACTGGTTGAAGTGACTGGGTGAAGAAAATTTGCGATTAAATGAATTAAAAAAAAGGGTCAGAAAGAAAGAAAAAGAAAGAAAAAATAAATGAATGAAAGAAAGAAAAAAAGAAAGAAAAAAAGAAAGAAAGAAAGAAAGAAAGAAAGAAAGAAAGCACTCAATAACCTCCTGTCAATCAAACTAACTTTGAAATGTGCTGTGTGTCTGTCGACCGCTCATCATCACTCTTAAAAACTTCAACATTCTCTCTCTCTTTCTCTAGCATTCTCATTCTTTCTTTCTTCCTCTCTCATTTTTTTTTCTTTTTTTCTTTCTTACTTTTTTTTTCTCTCTCTCTTTCTCTCTTTTATTCTTTCATGAATTTGTTTTGTTTTACTTCATTTTGCTTTAATACTTGCACATGTCTTTCATGTATGCGTGTGTTTGCATGTACGTGTGTATGTTTGTATGTTTGTATGTTTACATGTATGTATGTTTGTATGTACGCTTACTTATGTTGGTATATAAGTATTCATGCATGTTGTGTGTTTTTTTTTATTGCTGGGCTGTGTAGGAATGATTTGAATGTTTTTAAGTTACTCTTTCTCTCTCTTTTTTTCTCTGTCTCCTTCTCCTTCTCTCTTTAATTTTTCTTCTTTCTTTCTCTCTCTCTCTCATTAAAATTAGTTTTGTGTGTTAGTGCGTTTGTCTCTCTGGATCATGTATGTTGATGTCATGCTTCTTTCTTATTCAGACAGACACACACACACACACACACACACACACACTCATATACACGTACACGCAACCACAGGCGTATCATCAAGACGAAAACATTCGCTGTAGCTTAATGTAGTAAAGTAACTACTTAGTACAGTAGTAACACAGGCAAGGAAAGAATTCTCTGTTTATGTTAAAGAGTTGGAAACATTTTTCCACCCTTCGTTTTTTTCATCAATTCTGCTAATGGGTATGGCATGGCAGTCAGTGCATGAATGAAGCGATAAAGAGACCGACATGGCTGGCTATCAATATTCATTTGTTTGAGCAATCTATATCTTAAGATCAATTAATTGATTGGTTTGTTGATCAAATTATTGATTGATTGATTTATTGATTGATTGATTGATAAAATTATTGATTCATTAAATGAGTGAATGAATGAGTGACTGAACAAACAGTTGTTAATTGACTGATTGAATGAATGGATGTGTGGATGAATAAATTAGAAAATGAATAAACAAATATAGAACGAACGAACGAACGAACGAAAGAACGAACGAAAGAACGAATAAAGGAATGAATGATTGATTGATTGGTTGATCGAACGTGACTTAGATAAACCACATTTATGCAAAAACCTGTATGCGTTCATGCGTGTGGGTGGGTGGTGTTTTAAACATTAAAACCAGCATCACACCAGCACACATACCGATACACATGTCTGTTTATCTCTAGATTTTATGATTATGAAACCGTATAAATTTAAAACATTTTCAACTTTGTATATTTCCTAACTCAAGATTATGATTGTGATGTCGACGATGACGATGATGACGACGATGATGATGATGATGATGATGACGATGATGATGATGACGATGATGATGATGACAGACAGGATAAATTGAAAACTTATGCACGTGAATTGAATTTATACACACGTTTGTGTGAGTTTGAGATGAGAAGTGTATGTGCGCTCGCGTGTGTATGTTTGTGTGTGTGTATATGTGTGTGTGGGTGTGTTTCTGCACCTTGGCGTAGATGCAAATGTTTATTATTTTTCAATCATTCAGAATGTTTACGTTTTGAACGAGGTAGGGATGAGAAGTTTGCTGCAAACGTGCGAACCGAACGAACAGTTTGCAAACTAATTAACAAAAAACTGAATGAACAGTGCGTGTGTGTGAACAGGGCAAACAAACATATGAACGAACGAACGAACGAACGTTGGAAGAAACGTAAGAAAAAAATATTTTAAATCAAATTTTCAAAAATTTTCAAACTTTTATTTTGATAGATGCACTGTT